CTGCGAGCGGGGAGTTGGCAGAGCTGGGCTGCATTTCCAGCAGGAGCTGCGAGCGCAGAGCCGGCGCACAAGGTGATGTGCCAAGGAGCGGGTCCTTGCTGAGCTCGCTGAGGGTGCTGCGCCCCGGGCTTCCTGCCGCGTCCCCGCTCTCCTCCCTCGGGTCTGCGTGCGCGTGAGTGCGGGGTTGGGGGCGAAGCCCGGGGGAGGAGACACCCCCGTTCCTGCTCGTCCCTGCCTCCCTCTACTTCCGTCGCTGCCGATGCATGTCTTCCAGGGACGCCGGGTCTCCGTGCCCCTTCTCTGCCCCTGCCTGCCCCCTTCCAACCCGGCCGTGTCTCTGTTTCCAGATGCTCACGGTGCCGGCCGTATTGTGTGTGTGTGCAGCCGCTTGGTGCAGCCAGGCTCTCGCAGCCGCCGCGGCAGTGGCTGCGGCCGGGGGGCGGTCGGACGGCGGTAATTTTCTGGATGATAAACAATGGCTCACCACAGTCTCTCAGTACGACAAGGAAGTCGGACAGTGGAACAAATTCCGAGACGTAAGTGCTGCTCACTCGCATCCCCAGGCGCGCGCGCTCAGCTCCGAGGCGAGGGGTCACAGTGGCCGGGAAGGGTGGAGCGAGCCGGGAAACGGATCTGGGGGTTCCGAGCTGCGCAGCGCCGCCGCTGAGAACTTAGCGGTTCCGCCGCCCACCTCCGGGCTGGGGCAGCGGACGACTGGCTTTGGTGGACGCGCAGAAGTTCGGGTCACACCGGGTTCCCACTGTGGCCCCTCCCTCTCTCCCCTTCTCCCCATTCCCCGAACCCCAAAGATTTGCAAAGTGCTGGCTCTGCCTTCTCAACTTTTGAATGGTGTTCCTGGCACTGGTAAACACAGCAGGTGTGCCTGTGCGTTGTGTTGTTACTAAAGTAACTAGGATCGATCCCGTCGCTAATGGTCCATTAAGGAATTTGAGGGAGGAGGCAGGAAGATGTAAGATTTATAAATGCCCGCTCTCCAAAGGGGGAGGTTGTTTGGCGGCACCAGTCGGCAGAAGTTGAACTGCTCCTGATTACATAAAATTGCTCATCTTGATTTGTGCCTCAGCGCTCACTTTAATGTAGAGCGTGTTTGCCATGCATTTGGTTACGTCTTCTCCAAAATTAAGCATCCCTGTAAAATCTAAGGTGCTGGACGATGGCAGGGTGCCGGGATCTCTGCAGGTGAAAGCGGTGGAAATGTTGAAGTGTAGATGCCCTCGGAGAGTTGGGTTAAGAGGGAGCCAGTTTTGAAGACACCGGACATTCATTTGCTTGGAGCTAGAGGCCAGGACTGCTAGACATTTTTTTTTTCCTCCCTTTGATCTGAGTGGAGCCGGGTGAGAGTGGCTTCGTCCAGAGCGCAGTTCTCCGGTCGCGCAGACACTGTCAACTTGGCTGTGCCCGGCGAGGAGGCCGCGCTGACTGCCCTTTACCGCCTCCAGCCAGCCTTTAGGGAGCGAGAGTGATTCACAGGCATATTGGCAACCCTTCCTGTGACTTTTGAGAGGATTCTGTGGAGGCCATCTGCAGTGCTCTGTGCAGAGATGAGTTAACTTCTCTCATCAGCTGACTCTTGTCACGATTTAGGAAAATAACTGGAAGCTTGGGTTAGTTTTCATCTGGGCTCCCTTACCCCTTGCTCTCAGCCACCCCTATCAAGTACTTGATAGGCCAAATCCCACACAGAGATTCCGAATAAAAGGGCATTTGACTTTAAATTTAGGTATAGCTAGTTGAGCCTGGGCTTACAGATAAGATTTAAAAAATGATACTGGTATTACTTAATGGAAGCCATGATCTATCCTGCTTTGTGGACAAAGCTCAGACATTGCATTGCTACATGAAGATTCAGAAACGCGAACTGCACACATAATTTAAGTTTATAATCATATTAAATCCAATTTAAAAAGTAAGGAAGCAAGTGAGGTAGTTATGAATGTGGAGAGAATTTCTGATTATCATGTCCTCATTTAATTAAAAATAAGATAAATATCATCAGTACTTGAACAATATTTAATGTTCTTACATTTATTTATGTAGTAGATGCTCTAATGTGTTTTAATGAAGTTTGGCCTTCATTGAAGTATATTTTCTATCTTGTATAATAGTGTTCTCTTAATTTAATTGTTTATGGAATGCTTAGCAGCCTACCTTGCTCAGTTTGAATGCTTTTGATTTAAACTATCATGCCAAGCCCGAATGCCCACTGCAGGACAATCATCCTCAAATTAGTGCAGCCAACTTCTGTAGAGATGGGTTATTTTATTTCTATAGTGTTTTCCAGCATTCTTATGTGCGCTCAAGGGAAAGCCCATCAAAGTTGTATATAAATCCACATAAGGGATTTATTGAGATATTTTGAGCTAGTACCTATTTGGAAGTGCACGCAGTAGGTAAGAATATAATGGTAATTTATCTTATATGAGGTTTTAGAATTGCTATTTCAGTAAGACAGCTACAGTTTTGGGAAAATGATGTCTGGAAGGGATGAGAAAGATACGCAGTCTCAGTCTCTCCCTTTAACCACCTGTTGCTCGTTATTGACGCGATAAAATGTTCACTGACAGCATGGCTTCGCAAATCATAACTCAGAATGAATAAAGCAGGATTTTTATTTAGATCCTCCACTCCACTGCTGTTTCTATCTTTTCCTTTTGGAGGAATCATTAGCTTAACTTTTCTTCATTTTCAGGACTTTTTATAAAGTTCATTTTTTGGCTGCACACACGCAATTATAAGGTCTTGTTTCAAATAAGAGTGTCATATCTGAATCTGCCTTTAAAGCTTCTGTATGAACATTTATACCTGAAATAGCCTTACATACTCAGTTTATATGATGGCAAAGAAACAAGGAAGTCTGAATCTGTTTTTGCAGAAACAATTTAATGGAAGTACTTTGTTACATGCTTTGCATCCATTAAAATATAGTTAATGTCATTTAGGAAAAAAAACCTTTGTGATGCTTCAGCATAACTAATTACAGCATTAATCCTTTCTTGTGAATGACTGTTCTACAGAATTAATATTATTTTGTAAGTGACATCTTTAAATTTGTCTTCTTTTGAATTATATTTGAAAACTATTGAACAGTATGTGAAAACACACAAGTCATGATTATTTTAATTGAATAATCTAAAAGTAAATGTTTATTTTCATATTTAATATGAATGTGTACATGTATTTGTTTATCATAAAGTTTTAGGGACAAGAAGCACGGATAGGAAGTGCTATGAGAGAGTAACTGATAGGAAGGTTTTTGAGAGAGTCGATGAATGTGCAAACCACTGCCCTGCTGACACGTTGACTCAGTATAAATCAAGGAAATAATAAAAGCAAAGACAAGCTTACCATGAGTAAATACTAACAAAAAAGAAGCTTCAGATAATTTGGAGCACTGTATACTAGCAGTGCTTCTCCAAATAAAATTGTGGAAGTTTCACATTTAAAAAATAAGTATAATAGAGCCACTGTGTTATATTCAGAGTATAATTATATGAGGTGAGGATGAAAAGGGGGGTGGGGGTTTAACTCAGTGGTAGAACAAATGTTAACATGAATGAGGCCCTGGGTTCAAGCTACAATATCAAAAATTAATAATAATAATAACAATAATCATAATAATAGATATCTCCCAAACCTTCTCAGTAATGGGATATGTTTAGTAAATACACTAGTGGCATTACTTTATTTTTCTTGCACTGCTGGCTAATGATAAAATGAAGAACTCAAGAGTTCCCAATGGGAGAAAAGTGGGAGCACCAATATATTCTCCCAGATCAGTAATATAAAGTAGTCTCATTGCTTTCTTGCATATGTATTTGGAGATTTGGGAATCAGAATTCTTATGAAGAAACTAAAACATACCACATGGTGCATGCATTACGTATTTCAACCATCTATATTTTATAAATCCAATTAAACCATACAGTTGATCATATAATAAATGAGAATAGAACTTGAAATTTAGTGATTTAATTGGTAATGCATGATGTAACATAATCATCGGCCTTATATATTATTGATTTCACGGAAGTACATGAACTCATTAAGAATGAGAGGAAAGGTAAAATATGAGAAGCCCTCAAAGAGTGTACATTCAAAGCAGTACAATGAATTTCTAGCAAAAGTAGTGGTGATAGCTATACTAATTTTAATAAATAACATAATGAAATCAACATTTTACCATGAAAATTAAACTTAAAATTCTAGATTATATTTATTCTCCAGTGAAAACAACTGGGGCTCATTTTGTGTTTCAAGAAATGGTTACCATAGTCAACTTCAATTTACATGTGTTCCTTAAGTGATTGTTAATAATCTGTAGATACACGAAAACAAGAGTAAAATCCTGCACCTTAACTTAAAAATAATTTTATAAGTTAATTAAGGTTTTAGCATTTTTAGCATTTAAATTTTTTAGTGTTAGTCCAACGATAAATACATTGTAAAACTGTCACATACAGATTGAATTCTCTCAGACACATTCCAGTTATAATTTGACTTCATAAGAACAGTGGATTTGGTGATACTGACTAGTAAGAAGCCCTTTCTAAGCTTTAATTTCCATCTTTCATCTGAGTGGAGATACTTCGGTGAACAGTTAAGTGGGGGCGATAATAGTTAAGAGAGCTCATAGTTAAGGGCATTTCCTGACAGCGTAGTGGGCCACAGGAACGAGAGGATCGCTCAGAGCTTATCAAATGTCACTGTTATTAAAAGTAAATATAACAGTTTGTTTCTATGGCTATAAGACATTACAGTTAAAACACTGAAAACTAAACATGTCTTTTTTCTTATTTTTAGGGTGGACTTTGTGTCCTGGTTGCATTTCTTGAGTTGCAGGCATGCACTTAGAAGGAAGCAGGAGCGCTCCTCTGTGCTGCCTCAGTAGGAGGTAGCAGTTATACTGTTGTCTGTTTCAACAATATATATCAAAAGTAACATTAAAGGATTATTAATAATTTAGATAAACTGAACTCAGTAGACTCCTACTCTCTCCCCTCAAGAATACTTTCTCAGTTTTTATGAAAATGCACGTTTTCATTATTTCACATTATAAAACAGTATTTGTCACTGTGGAAATCTTTATAAGGACAGGAACATAGGGTTTCCTCAGGAATGTTTCACAGTTCATCTTCCTGGGTGTTTTTCTTTGTGTCTTTTTTATGATTATAGGCACAGTATTTATTCTTTACAAGCCTTTGCCCATTATACATATAAAATATATGATATGTAATATGTAGTAAAATATCATATATTAATGTGTAATATTTAGTATACATGTTTGCAGGTCAATGCAGTAGTATTCATATTGGGCTGTTACTCATCTTTTTTAAGTCCGAGGAGGATTCCTCCAGAGGGAGGTAACTGACTTCTTAAGAGAAGCATTAACTAGTCTTTGACAATTCGGGGGCCAGTTAGTAACTGGAGAGCCAAGAGCTCCTGGATTCCTGTCCTTGTCATGTGAGTCCTAGTTGTGCCTTGATTGCGTCTTTACCTCTACATCCTTATCTCTTAACTCTGTCAATAGCACTACCACACAACATGCAGGGGTTCAGATTGGTTTGTTAGGGCAGGCATCACATGATAAAGGAAGACAGGTCAGGGAGTCTCCACTGACCTGCTAGTTTCTGGAGAGGTGTTTTGGGAAGAGATGGTATTATATTAGCAGAAGGAAGTCTGAATTGATGATAATGTTTAGCCGGTCTCCCATAGGTTCACCCTAACAAAAAGTATAAAGAAGCAAGTAGTACTTTTATTTCTTTATCTCTTATAACTTCTGGTGAATTAATAGAAAAGTATAGAAATATATTACTGTCTCTGTATGTATATTATATATGTTTATATATGCATGAAAGA